AAGGCTCAAGGTTGACTCAGCCTTCCATCCTTTCTAAGGTAGGTGAAATGAGGAGCCAGTTTGTGGGGGCAATAAGCTGACTTTGTATAAAATATACAAAAGAATGAAGGCTATTGCTTAACGCACTGTAAGCCGCCCTGAGTCTCCGGAGAAGGGCGGCATATAAATCAAATTAAAAAAATAAATAAATTGTTGGCTGTCAAGAGTTGCTACTCAGGGGGAAAATGAAATGAAAGATTCCTGGAAGTTCTTGAGAAATGACCAAGTTGAAACTATCCATGTTCTAATTACAGCTCCTATTAAGACACCACGGTCCTGTTTTTCCACCCTTTTTCAAAGATGTCCTGCAGATGTCCTCTTCCCACTTGTACTAAATAGCACTTACTTGCACTAAAAGCATCATGAATCACTTTTAAGCAACAACATGGAAGGACTTTGTCATTTATTTGACCAAATGGGCAATAAACATGGATTAGCTTAGTGCTGGGAAATAGGGAGGAGGGAATGACAGTTGGGGAAGACCAGGGATGCTTTGAACCAGATCGTGACAGCCTTCAAGGACACTGAGAAGACAGAGATGCTTGAGAGGGGAGGATGGAATTGGAGGGAAATAGTCTGTATGCTTTTGCATGGGAAATTCAATTCTAGCCGGCTACCAACATATGCTACCAACATCTTTTAGTAAAAGAACTCATCCCTTCATCCAAATCGAGTTTTTTTTTTTAATTTGATTTATATGCCGCCTTTCTCCGGAGACTCAGGGCAGTTTACAATGCGCTAAGCAATAGCCGTCATCCTTTTTGTATATTTATACAAAATCAGCTTATTGACCCCACAACTGGGTCCTCAGTTTACCTACCTTAGAAAGGATGGAAGGCTGAGTCAACCTTGAGCCTGGCGAGATTCGAACCCTGCAGTAATTGCAGGCAGCTGGTCTTAATAACCAGCTTAATAACAGGGTGCCTTAAACCCCTGTACTACCAAGGCTCTTAGTCTTCATCCAAATGGAGTTGTTTTTTTGTTTTTTTATTTGATTTATATGCCGCCTTTCTCTGGAGACTCAGGGCGGTTTACAATGCGCTAAGCAATAGCCTTCATCCTTTTGTATATTTATACAAAATCAGCTTATTGCCCCCACAAACTGGGTCCTCAATTTACCTACCTTAGAAAGGATGGAAGGCTGAGTCAACCTTGAGCCTGGCGAGATTCAAACCTGCAGTAATTGCAGGCAGCTGGTCTTAATAACAGGGTGCTTTAGACCACTGTACTACCAGGCTCTTTTTTGAGGGTCTTTCTTTCCTAAGGGATCGGATTGGGGCAGGTTTGGTTTTTTTAATACTCCAAAGACCAATTCCAACCTAACCAGCTCTAAGAAAAAGCAACGATGGCTGATTCTGGAAAGCTAAGCAGGTTTGACTGGCTTGGCATTTGCACCCAAGACTGGCGAGCAAGCAAATCTCAAGCAGGTCAAAAGGCCCATCCTAGAAGAAGGAAATGAAGGAAGGAGGAAGCACTTCTGCACTGTTGCTGAGAATATTATACCGATGTGAATGGATAAGAAGCAATGGATGGAAACTAAACAAGGAGAGAAGCAACCTAGAACCAAGGAGAAACTTCCTAACAGTGAGGACAATTAACCAGTTGAATGGCTTCCCTTCAGAAGTTGTGGGTGATCCATCACTGGAGGCTTTTAAGAACAGACTGGGAGGTCACTTGGCTGGAATGGGATAGGGTCTCCTGCTTGAGGTTGGAGTAGAAGACCTCCAAGGTCCTTTCTAAGTCTACTATTTTGTTCTAGGTTGCCCTGCACTTGGTGAAGCTCAAGTGAGGAAACCCTTCCCACATACCTCCTCCCGCCTCCCTCTCTCGACTCTTGCTCTGAGTAGGAGCAGAAGAAGCAACAGCTTCCTCCTTCCTTTCTGACTCCTGCCATCAACAACTCAGTCAATGCAGAAAGACCCAGGGGTGGAGGTCAGTGGCTGTTTCGCTTACCTATCAGGAAGAGAATCGCAGCTCCTGAGATTAAGCCTGTAACAATTCCCACAGGAATCCGCCACCCTGTAGCTAAAGAAGGAGAAAGATGGTTCTGATTAGACAGATGCTGAGTTCCCTGAAGTGGAGATGCTGAGCAATGGAAACCTTTCCCAACCCGTGTTGGCCTCCAGAAAGTGCCCCCACCTGAAGGAAGCTCCTCCCCCCCCCCCAAGCTAAAGAGAGAAGAGCAAATGGCCTTGAAGAGCAGAAGGAGCCACCATCCATCATCTCATATATCATCATATTTTCATATTATTCCTATTAAGTTACCATTTCCAACCCTTCTCACAGAAATCACTTCTCTCCCATTGCTAAATAGATGGCTATACCGTATTTGCTGCTCTCCACCTGAAAACATGAGATAATGCAGCAGCAAACTCCCCCCACATTGTCAAATATTGATGTAACTTCCACACAAAGTTTTTTTCTACACATAACAACCCTGTTATCCTCTCACCTGTTTTGTCCTTGAAATCAAACACCAAGGTCAAGCCCTCATGCTCCAGGTGACACTGAAAATGGTTTTTCTCCTTGGGGTCGATCTCAATGCTGAGCCAAACATAATAGGCCCCGTCTGAGTTGGGGACCACATTCCTTGGGAGGGTCTCATATAGGCAGACTTCTCCGTCCTTCATCCAGGTGGCCTGGATCTCCTTGGGGTAGAAGCCAAAGGCCTGGCAGATGAGGATCTCCAGGCTGTCATCCACCACCTTGGAATTCACCTTCCCCACTGGGGGCTCTGCAGAGGAAGCAACACCAGAGTTCCTGGGTTCTCTTAGAGTTTCTTTTAAGATGATTTAATTCACAGGGAAGTCCTCATTTGGCCATCCTCTCCCTCTCCTCCTCTCTGAACCTCTGGGAGCCTCCAAGATGGGGCATTGCAGCTCTTTAGATGTATTTTTGAAAGGGTTAAATAGAATATGGGGTAAAGTTCTCCAATCAATCGTCATAATTGTAATGCTTGAAGTCTGATTCAATTTACTCCCCCCACCCCAATTGAATTTGGTTAAGTGGTTCCAGATAGAAATCAGGAACAGACTGACCCAAAAAGGACATTCGCTTTCTTCTGGTTTGCAAGATATTCCCAGGGAAACAGAGTGAGACATTCACCGTTAATGTCTTTCTCAGTTAGTTACTTTATCTTTAAAGTACTTATTCTAGGGGACACTGAAGATTATTTTCAGTGGTGAAATCCAAATTTTTTTATTACCGATTCTGTGGGCGTGGCTTGGTGGGCGTGGTGTGGCTTAGTGGGCATGGCTTAGTGGGCGTGCAGGGAAAGGATACTGCAAAATCTCCATTCCCACCCCACTCTGGGGCCAGCCAAAGGTGGCACTTGCTGGTTCTCTGAACTACTCAAAATTTCCGCTACTGGTTCTCCAGAACCTGCTGGATTTCACCCCTGATTATTTTCCTTCTGTAATGCGATGTGGGATACCAACTGATTCTTTTCTGCAAATGTTGGCTTAGCTACGTAGGACAGAAATAATATGGGGAGGGGGGAGCCTACAGAAACATGCTCAGTGGAGACCCCTTTTGCCATTCACCGATCCTCCGGAGAGCCTCCTTCTGGTAGGACAGGTATCTCTGCAGCCCCTCAATGCAGGTCTCCTCCAGGTAGACTTTAATTTTCTCTGTCCATCCTGGATCCTCCTCCCACTTCTCCTTGACCTTCTGGGCCTGGGGCTGAGCTGCCACCCATCTGAGGGTCTCCTTGTCGAAGCTGATGAAGTCCGTCCCATTGTAGCCGTAATGCAAAAATCCTCCTTTGCGCCCATCTTCCCTGAGCTCACAGCCCAAAACCACCTGCCAGGTGTGAAGCCCTGAAAGAGACCCAGTGTCAGGTTCCAAGAAGATAATACAGGAAACAAACAAAACAAACCTGGTTTGATGCTGTTACCTTTTATTCCTGGCACTCACTGACCACTTAAACGAAATTATTGTTAGGGCTAACTTCCCAGAATTCCCATCACCTTTTACACAATACACCAGTGCACCAGGGTTGGGTTCTACTTACCTTTACTACCGGTTCACAGCAGGGCCACGCGTGCACTCTTGCTTTGCTCGTGCACGCTGCGCTCTTCTGTGCATGCGGGGAAGCGTTTTGATGACATCGGGGTTGGTGGGCGGAGCCTCCCGCTGGTTTTTTTACAGGTTCTATAGAACCGGTGCGAACTGGGGGCAACCCACCACTGCAGTTCACCCAGCCCTCATTATCCAATCCCCAACGCCTACCCTGCCCATGTGACCCAGTTTTACTCTAATTGTAATTCTTAAAGTCAGTTCCTTAAAGGGGAAGTTCTACTCTAGTAACTGTAATTATTAAAGCCAGTCTCTTAAGGGGGAAGTGTTTATGTAGGTTTCCTTGGAACATGCTGCTCAATCTTGGCTCTGAGCATAACAGCCGGCTCTGGGATCAAAGGAGAACGGCAGGGGAGTCTTGACGAAGTCATCACCTTCCTGACGTCATCACCGTGTGGCCGCCTCACAGCTGTTCGGCAGCCAACCGGCTTCCCGGGGACCATCCTGGATGATGGATCGACTCCTCGCCCTCCGTCCCAAGTCCTCAGCAGCTGGCAAGGTAGCATGCAGGGCCTCTGTCCTCCGCAGCTGTAGTGACGGCCATTCTCCCCTGAATGGCAGCTCCAGGCCGTTGGGCACGCTGGACCTGACACTCAGAGGGGGTGGGTATGAATGAAAAGGACCCAAATTCCCCTAGAGAGCATTATAGCCAACTACCTCTCCCCTCACCCCCTCTTTTCCTCTTTATCATACAAGGAGAAATACCGTCTACTTGAATTAACCCTTTTGGGCCTGTGTCAGGGCATGAAGAATTTCTAGGAGAGGGAGATAATTGGGGGGTCAGGGGCTGGGGAGTGGGGTGTCTTTCCTTATCAGGAAAGAAAATATCACTATTATGCTCCCTGCAGCCATTGGTTGCCAAAGATGTCACTGGCTCTGCTCACCTCCAGCACGGCGGTCCAGTTTTGATAACTTCTCCAGATCAGCCCTGAAGACTCTTTCAGGGGCCAGAAAGGCCTCCTTCTCCACCTCCTCCATCCAGGGCACCAGAGGCTCCATCTTCCCGGTGAGGCTGTCAAAGCGAGCGATGGGCTGGTCATCCAGGTAGCTCTTAATGAAGAACTGGGGAAGCCCCTGGCTGGACTCTGAGAGTTGCAGGTAGAAGTAGGACAGGGAGTGTAAGAGGGAGCCTGGAGAGGGAGGAGGGAGACAAGGAGAATGAGGGGGTCTGCACTGCTGCTCCATCCCTGCCAACATTTTATTCTCACCCAGCACCCCCAACAAGCGAGCCGCCCTCTATCTGCTCTGCTTAGGAAGGTTCCTGCCTTTAAAACCTTGGCTGACCTTAAAAACATCTGGGGAGACCCACATCTGGTTACAGTGCCCCCACAGCTCCACTGGGCCCTCGGGATTCTTGTGTGCCTGACGCTGATCACAATCCTCTTTGCCAAGCACAGGGAGTGTCATGGGACTGGAAGATTTGCCTGGAGCTTCATCTTGGAGTTAGAAATCTGGCTGCTCTCCAGAGAGTCAACCCAGCCCCTCCCCCCACCTCCATCCCTTCCCAGGTGACTCTATTTTCTGAGCAGTTTGGGGCTCCTTCCCAGGTAGCCTGGCCCTTTGCCAGCCCAGCGGTGGAACAGAGATTTGTGGAAATAGGTTGAGCTCTAAAGGTTCCTCTGTGATGTAAAAATTTTAAAAAAAATTAAACTTCAAACTCTCCTACAAGCAGCCCCTCCTTTTCTTTGCCCTCCTGTTGGGCCCCCAACTCTCCTGTGCCAACCTCTTTTCCTGGCCTTTGCCTGCCACACGCGTGTAAATTAACCAGCGCCAGGAGAAGGCATGATTCAACCGTGGCTACGTTTCCACTGCCAACATCGCCTTTTCTCTCCGCTATTTTCTCAGAAATACAGATGGGAACGGATTACAAAGGAAACACCGAAAGTCTTAAACGAGCATCAGGAGGGAAGGCAGATTTGTCCTTCTGGGAAAGGAGCTTCGAGGGGGAGAGACCCAGCCCAGGACAGGCTCCCCCTCCCCTTCTGCTTCCTCCCCTCCACGTCGCAGGTCCTCCTAAGAACTCACCGCAGTGGCCCCCCCGCAAGGAGGCCCCCAGCACCTCTCCCAGGAGCCAGAGGGAAGCCCGGTGCAGCCACATCACCCATGCGTGGCTTTTCCATCTGCAAGCGAAGACACGTCCTGCATCCTCTCCGCCAAGAGAAGCCCCGCCCCTTCTCAGCCACTCGCCCCCGCGTTCCAGAGAACCAAATCTCTGGGACTGAACTTTCCCGTAGGGTTGCCAGGTGTCCACTATTTGAGCGGACAGTCCACTTTTTTCACATTATGTTCACTATTTTTTTTTCACAAAATAGTGGACATTTTTTTTATTCAAAAGCTTTATGATGAAACGGTACGTAAGTTTTGCGAGTCAGAATTCCATGAAGTTTTGCGCCATGTTCCAACACGTTGGTTAAGTTTGTTTAAAGCAGTCAAAAGACTTCTTTTAAACTGGATACCTCTAAAATCGTATTTTATTTCTCTTGGATCTGATGAGTGCCATAAGGTTATCTGGAACCTTATTTCGGATCAGGAAAATGAACTCGCAAAGGACGATGAACCAACAATTTCAGAATTGTATTTACATTTCACGCACTTCTTCATGTCAATAATGCAAGACACCCTACTGAAGCTGGAAAGCAAGAAAATTCTTGCATGTGATCCTCACATTATCATGTGTAAGCTGCGTGATTCTTTGCAAAAAAAATACGATGAGCAGTTTTTTGGAATGAAAGTTTTATTTGCCTTACGTAAAAAACATTTGCCTGAGAATGCCGTGCAAAAGTTCAAGAAAGAAGCCATCAACGTGTATCAAAGAGCCATTGCGTACCTAGAAAAGTGGTATAATTTCACCAATTCAGTATATGAGACACTAAGTTGTTTCAATCTAATTGATCGCAATAATCCTCCAACTTTAGAAGAAATGACGAACATCTGGTTATTATCACCATGGCGAGAAGAACTTCCACCCAACACTCTCTTCGATGAAATTTCTGCCTTAGAAGAAGTTTATGTTCATCTGCAGGGCGATTCATCCCTTGATAAGGGGACGTACTTTTTCAAGAAAGAGCCAGCTCCGAGTTTACTGAAACTGTTCCAGTATTGTGCATCAATTCCAGTATCAAATGCAAACGTTGAACGAATTTTCTGCGTCATGGGAAATTTGTGGACTGACGAACATAACCAACTGCTTGTACCATCAGTTCGAAGTGAACTTTGTATATTTTTTAATATTTCTCAATGTTGTACTGAAATTAAAGAATTATTCCTTAAACACAAAGAATTGATCAAAGCTGCGCAGTCAAATAAAAAATACACACAACAGCAAAGTAAAATGTAATTTAATATTTTACTTATTATTATAATATATAAGTAAAGTTTTGAAGTGATTATTTTAATACGTGTTAAAATGTTTGTAAGAAAATATATAATTTAATTGTAAAAAAAATTTTTATATTTTTTTACTACTTAATCCCCACCCCCACCCCCGCCCCTTGTCCGCTATTTTTGGAAGCAGACCTGGCAACCCTAGACTGAAGTTCTCTATGCCGTCCGCAGGCTCTCTCGCCAGTTTTGGGTCCGTGAAGGACGAGAGGAAACTGCGCTGCTCTTTTACTCTCATCCGGCCCCCAAGAAGGGGGCGCGGGGTCCTAGCCAGGCGCTCCCCTTTAGAGGATGACCAGCCAAGTTTAGTCCGCAGCCACAGCGATGCCCCCCTTGCTGCTTCGTCTTGCGAGGCCCCTCCCAGAGACTCCCGCCTGCTCATTCCTGCCACTTCTATGGAACTTGTGGAAGACCGTGATCGATCGTAGCTTCCTGGTGCGGTTTTATTTCTCCTTCTGACTTGGGGTCTGCTTCAGCATCCTGGTGCTGGGCTTTGGGTGAAGGCTGGAGCAAAGTGCCACTGGTGGTGAAGAGCCAGAGGGCCTCATTCCAGTGGGACTACATCATGGCCTGGAACTGGCTGACCATCTTACCCCGCTGAGCCTCCAGGCCTTGCATTCCTACAGGTCTTCCCTCTGCTTGGAGAGCCTATGCTCGTAGTCCTCAGTGAGGTGCTTCTGCTGAGCCTCCTTCTTGGTCAGATCCAATTGGAACTGAGCTGTTTTGCCAACTCTTTCTCATGGTGGCTGCTTAGCTCCAACAACCGCTTCTTCTTGGGGGCCTAAGGAGCCCGGGCAGGGAGGCGAGCAGTGGCGAGTAGAGGCTGGCAAGGAACCCCTCAATGTGAGTGACATCAAGTTGACCATGCCCACCCAGCCGGTCATTAGGCAGATCATATTAGTGGTCCGTGGGATTTAAAATTATGAGTTTAGTGGTCCCTGGGGTCCGAAAGGTTGGGGACCCCGGTCTAGAGAGGCTCCCAGGTGCTCAGAAAAACTTGTCTCCCTGCCTTCCTGGAAACCCGCAGGGGACTTGGCAGCTGTGCAAAGAATCAAGTGTGGAAGGGAGGAGATCTCAGGGGGAGACGAAACAGGGTAGAGGGGGGAGGTTCAAAAACTATCCACATGGTGCTTAAAAAACAACCTGCACCTGAACATCAGCCAGACCAAGGAGATGGTCTTGGATTTCCGGAGGAAGAGAGAGGAATCTGCCCCACTTTACATCGAGGGGGGCTGTGTGGAGAGAGTTTCCTCCTTTAAATTCCTGGGAGCCCATCTCAGGGAAGACCTCACTTGGAAAAACAACACGATCCAGGTGGCCAGGAAGGCCCAACAGAGACTCCATTTCCTTAGGGCCTTGCGATAAAAACAGGGTGAAACAACAACTGATGACCTCCTTTTTACCGGTCCACAATAGAAAGCCTCCTCACTTATTGCATTACGGTATGGCATGACGGTTTGACAGCCGTGGATAGAAAAACGTTACAGAGGGTGGTGAGCACAGCAAAAACATCGTGGGCTGCCCTGCCCTGATACCACTAGCTGAGATCTCTAGGGCTCGCTGCCTTAGAAGAGTGAGGAAAATCCTCAGGGATGATTCTCACCCTGGTCATCACTTCTTTCCCCTCCTACCATCGGGAAGGAGATAGAGAAGCATAGCCATCTGCACAAACAGGCTGAAGAACAGTTTTTATCCGTGGGCTGTCAGATTCCTGAATGCGAAATAACATCATAACTACATAGTTTGATGGACTTGCAGGGCCGGCGCAACCTGTAACATGTTCACACTGGTGCAATAGGACTGAGTGGTTGTTAAGATGATTTATTGGGTTGGAGATTTTCTGTCTTCACTGCGAGTTGTATTGTGTTGGGAGGGTGCACTGAGGGAGCTCAACCAACCTCATTGTACCTACGTTGTGCACTGACAATAAAGATTTGATATTGAATCTTAAGGCTGGCCCTTGGAAAGAAGACACGGAAGTCCCTCCAAGTGTGGTTGTGAGTCCAGGAGGAGGAGGGGATTTCCTTCTTAAGCCCTTTACAGCCAAGCTCCGTGTTCTGAATGACACTCAGCCTCATGGAGAAAGAGGCCTGGATCTTTCCCCAAACACTCCGTCACAGAACCCACTCAGCCAACATCCCCCCCAACGCCCCCCCTTCCTTCAGGGCCTCCTCATCAAAAGCTTTTCTTTCCTTCTTTCCACCCAGGAACCCTGTGAGGTAGGCTGAGCTGAGCAATGAAGTTCTAGGGCTGAGGATGAACTTCAGCCTCCAAGAAAACGTCTCAGAGGGTGTGGTTCCCCTGGAGCTGTGATGGATGTGGTCTGGGCCTGGAATCTAAACCAGATGGAGCTTGTCTCCAGGACTCAGATCCTGCAGGAGGAGAAACTCTTCCAGAAAAGGAAATAAATTCTTGGCACCTAGACAGCCTTTTTCTTCGGGAGAGAATTGTGGGTGGGGAAATCCCCCTTTTTACAAGAAGTAAACATTGGTTCCAACAAAAGATTTCTTTACGTATTCAGGTTTTACCCCCCAATATTTTAAAAAAATATTTTAAAGTTAAAATACAAAATCCAAAAGAAAAGGGAACAAGGACAAAACAAAATGAAAAATGTGCATAAAAAGAAAATAACACATACACATAGATTGCCCCTCCCCCAGTTTAATACTGATAGAGAATAGAATAGAATAGAATAGAATAGAATAGAATAGAATAGAATAGAATAGAATAGAATAGAATAGAATAGAATAGAATAGAATAGAATTTTATTGGCCAAGGGTGATTGGACACACAAGGAATTTGTCTTAGGTGTATACGCTCTCAATGTACATAAAAGAAAAGATATGTTCATCAAGAATCATAAGGTACAACACTTAATGATAGTCATAGGGTACAAATAAACAATCAGGAAACAATATCAATATAAATCGTAAGGATACAAGCAACAAGGTTACAGTCATAAGTGGGAGGAGATGGGTGGTGGGAACGATGAGAAGATTAATAGTAGCACAGACTTAGTAAATAGTTTGACAGTGTTGAGGGAATTACTTGTTTAGCAGAGTGATGGCGTTTGGGGAAAAAACTGTCCTTGTGTCTAGTTGTTCTGGTGTGCAGTGCTCGATAGCGTCGTTTTGAGGGTAAGAGTTGATAAGTGTATTTCAACAATAATAGCTTCACACACACCCCTTACAAAACTCCACAATTTATGAACTTCTTCCTGCTTTTATTTACCCAATCAGTTTGATTTCCAGAAACAAGTGATTGATCTATTTGTTCAGGCGAAAGGCTTTTTTCAAGGGGGGTGAGGGAAGAGATCCCGTCCCGTCACTCCCGCAGGGCGCGGCCAAAGCCTGAAGGTCCAAGAGGGACGTGGATGCCCTGTAGGCTCTCCGACTGCCCTCGCTTGCTCTCTCCGGCCTCCTCCGTCTCTGCTTGGAGCCTTCCCGCAGCTCCGATGCCCAGCCAGTGCTTCTTCCCTCCTGTCTTTCTCTTTCTTTCTTTCTTTCTTTCTTTCTTTCTTTCTTTCTTTCTTTCTTTCTTTCTTTCTTTCTTTCTTTCTTTCTTTCTTTCTTTCTTTCTTTTTCTTTCTCTCCCCGTCCTACTCTTCTCTTCCCATTCAGTGTCGGAGGCATGATCAGGTACAGGGGGGCTTCCACCCCTCCCCTCCCTTTTCCCCCAAAGCCTCCAAGCCCCTGCATCAATTGTGCCATGACTTCTGGCTACCAGCATTGGCAGCCAGCAGATTGGCTGGCGGTGAACTGTCCCGTGCGCCCAAAAGCCTGGGGTGAACCGTATTTTGGCGAATGGGCTGTGGCAAAGGGCCTGGGATGGAGGGGCTGAGGCGCATGTGCCGGGGCGAAAGAATGGGGCTGGGCCAGCTGAGGAGAAAC